CTAAAATGAATGACTTTTTATCAGAAATTACTCGGTGGTCCTTGTCAAGTAGTGGTCTTAACGTAAATCCCTCCACCAAATGTCAGCTTGTTCATTTCACTTTCAGACTCAAGCACGACTAACATGAACTGGTTCGTTCCCATGATTCTAGTAACATAGATGGCACTGAAGTTGTGTTACTAAGTCTAGTGTTAAGTACCTTGGATTGTGTATTTCCTCTGTTGTTTTCTGGTCTTCCCACATCATGTTAGTTCCTAGAATGATATTTCATTCAACGTTCTATGTAAAGAAGTTAACGCGATCTGGTATCACTCAGTCAGTCTCTACTGTTACAGTTTGTTAGTTCTTGTATTCTACCTATTCTTCTTTATTGCCTCCTTTAATATTCCTCCGCTACTTAAGAAAGACTTTCTTACACTGTGAAGGATACTAAAAGCTGTCATTGGGTCTAGTGAGTGGTGTGTCGCCAAACCAACTTGTTAATACTATTGGGAATAGACACATGGACTCATGCATAAAAAATTAGTAAATATTATCCTATCAGACTCTGAACATCCTCTCCATACACAACTCTCTCCTTGCTGCATCTCATCGGGTAGAACTAGAAGCAACTATAAGCGACTTTATGCTCGGACAGCTGAGCATAAAAACTCTACAATACCTTATTTAGGACATATTTTAATGTGATGAGGAAAGTGTTAGGCAAGAAATTACCAACTTACTGAGGAACTCTAAGTAAACGGTGTCTTTTCTTGTTCTCGTTGTTACATTGTTGTTAATATTTTCACTGGATTAAATTTAATATTAATTTCTTATTGAACAATATTATTAATGTAAAATATTATTAATTTAAATGCCCCGTCTTAATTATTACCTCTGTAATGAGAATATTAGATGCAATATTGTATTACATGCTGAAAATTCCATATTTGTACGAAAAGTACTGTTTAGAATAAAGCTATTATTATTACTAACAAGTTCCGCCTTATTTCTCCATGGACCGACCCATTCTCTCTGAAACTTTTAATAATTAACTCCATTAGAGATAAGATTTTATTTTGATAAATCACAGTGTTGTTATACAGTAATATTAACTGATGACCATGTTTCGAGCACAAATTATTGCTCATAATCATATCGGGTCACTCACACAACTTGTTGTTGTGAGTGAACTGTTGCATAATAAACTTTTTGTGATCTTTTTTTAATTTTATTTTTGTAACCCATTTTCAATCCTTTGTTTTCGTATATTCAGTAGTCCATTAGACTGACAGTAAATGACATGTTGCTAAGTCATTCAAAAGACATATGATTATGATTGAACCAACATTTGAACACATTTATTCTAATGTGTTGGAACAACCAAACAACATATCCTTTATTTGCAGATGATTATTCATCACTTGCATAAGACTATTTTATCACTATTTCCACACATTATTGTTTCTCGTACACTTGTTTTTACTGACTGACTGTAAACTTTGACCCTTCCAGTTAGTTAACATTGTACATATATTTATAGGTACTCCCAAATAACTGTATAACTTTGAAGTTAGGGTAAGAGATCTCTTTTCGCTGATTCGTGTGTTCTTAAGAGTGAATGTTCGATCAATTTATCAAAGTCGCTCACACGAGAACAGTTAAGAGTGAAGTGGCCAACCGAATTAATAAGATGGGTTAAATAATAATGTCATTATTCATGTGTTAACAGGTTTCCGAGTAGATTTCATCATTAGACAGCATCAGTCAGAGAACCTTTGAAAACCAGTCAGTACTGAACAGCTGTTTGGTTCTAAATTCTGAACAGCCACTAGGGACGGAGCCCACGACCTATGCGTTACTAGGTAAGCTCATTGTGATCATCCAACCACTGGGGTAGATTTTGGAGTAGTTATTATGGATAAGATAGAATTTAATTGGTGGATGGTGACTAGCAGTGGAATCCAGGATTAGCATTTCGTCCTATTTGGGACTCGTCAACTGAGACCGAGCACTTCGGTTCAATCAATCGACGGGAAAATCTAAAATTCATATGAGAAAGAATTGCCTGATAAGACGGCAAGTATGCCTAAGTGACCGTCTCAAATATATGGTCAGTGATATTTCGATGGGGCATAGACAGTGAACAATCGAGGGAAAATCAGTCGATGAGATTGTGGAACTACATCGCTTGTGGTGGCTAGGATATATGTTAAACACTGTTGAGCGATAGCATTCGTTGATGACAAGCAGTGTTGGCTCATACAGGACTACATAGGAAGAGTTAGAGGTCGTCAGAAAATACAGGAAACTTTTGACTCTTGGACTTAGCCCGGCACGCCATCTGGCTGGGCTGTTGTGAAATCCAGTGGCTGTAAGTCAGTGTACTAAACCGAAAATGCATGTAACTGAGGTTGAATTGAGGAGTACGCGGACTCATCATCCTACCAACAATTACTGTTAAATGTACTTCAAAAAATTAATTTGTTTGAAATTGTTTTCTATCTTTTTTTTCTCCACCTCTTTTACACTCAGTAATAAAATTATAATTTTGATCAGGCAAACTGTTTAACATTTGGTAGTGTGGATATGTATATGTATAATATATTCTTGACTAAAGTGCTTTTTTTGTTTTAAACTATTGACTATGCTGTTTTTAATAATTTGCTAAATATAACGAATATTGAACACAGAATTACAGTCTACACCTGGTGTCTGTTATAAACACAGTATCGTTTTTAATATCATAACTAGTTATGATGTGTACTTTTAGCTATCTATGCATGTAAAGACAGGTTATCTACATGCATGCGTATGATTTATAAACCGTTCAATAAAATAACCTGATTTTCCCGTATTATTTAGAACAGATTTTTATCTTAACGGAGGCAATACGAAAAGGAGGCGGCTACCAGTTAGTACACCGATTATTTAGTCCAGGGATAGGTAAACCCCTATTTTACATTTTCATTAGGTGGCCTAATTTTAAGAATATATATATATATTGATTAATATCTAGCACAGCTGCATCTACTCACTGATGACACTTTCTCCTTAGTCACACTTAATAAGCTTTGAAGTAAGATAAATACCATACTGATAGAAAACTTGAAGTCAAATGGTGGATGGTGACTGGCAGTGGAATCCAGGATGCGCATTTCGTCCTATCTGGGACTCGTCACTGGATGTACCTGCATCTCACAGTGAGTGATGGTGTCCCCACTGAGGCTCGAACCCAGTGCCTTTAGTTTCAAACGTCTACGACAGCCACCTCTTGTGCATCGAGTCTTGCTAGTTATTCAATCGAATTTAGATTTTTCCCGTCGATTGATTGGAAAGAGCCGACATGTCAACCTGAGACCGAGCACTTCGGTCCAATCAATCGACGGGAAAATCTAAATTGGATTAAATGACAGAAAACTTGTTGAACTCTGTGCATATAGTCCTAAAAATGCCACACTTTCACTTCTACTTTTCTTATTAATAATTGTCATATGGCTTATGCCTTTTAACAATATGTGGAAAGTGCTCCAAAAGTTTATAATGAACAATCTGAAACCTACTAGACAGTAGTATTAGTAGTATTACATTAATGTAAACTGATAAGTTCTACGCCTCTTCCTACCGTTATTATGCTTGCCGATATCTGTAGGCGAACGTTCCAGTGAAACGTGAATAAATGGAAGTCAAATATTTCAAATTTCAGTGTATAATACTGATACTGATTCAGTTTTGTTTTTGGGAAATTTTAAAACTTTTAGCCTATTTTATTTTGTATTTTTTGTTGTTGTTGTTCTTCTTTTTCACTTGTAGATGATTTGTCCAGATACTATACATACTCTGGATCACTGACAACTCCCCCGTGTAATGAATGTGTCACTTGGATAGTACTAGATGAACCTGTAGTTATGAGTGTTGATCAGGTGAGTTGTGCTCATTGTTGGCCAAAATCAAAGTTATTATGGTTTTGGTTTCAGGCTAAAATAATGACTGACACAAAACTACTTCAGTATCTCTCAACTGATTTCTTTTTGTACTATGAGGCCTTATCTGCACTGATTTAGGCTTATTTCTATAATTCATCTGGTCAGTACAGACTCTTGTCTCGAAAACTTGTTTCAGGCGATGAAGCCAACTGCGGACAATTTATACGGATGTCAACTGCTCCTCTTAATTCCCATTAACCTCTTTTCTGGAAATTATTTTCTGAATTATCAATCGACTTTAAAATCTACGTTTAGTACACCTATATTGAGAAACTTGGAGTGTCACTGAAAGGATTTCCAACAGGTTGCAGACTTTTGTTAACAGATACTTTTGCTCCACACTCAAGACCAAATGGCCAGAAAGGATTAGCAGTGAGAAACCCTGACTGAGAACAAACAAACCAAAAGCCGATCTCTCAAAAAATGTATAGGAAGAAGTGGAGATGGATTGAGGATAGACTGAGGAAATCGTCGAATGACATCGCGCTTAATAGACGCCATTGCTCGAGTGGAATCCAAATGAGAAGCGATGAGTGGGTCGTCGGTGCGACGGTGACATGGAAAAGATCGTGTGAGGAGGAGATGAGAGATTACGGGCAGTGGTGGAGTCAGCTGAAGAAGATGGCAGAGAATAGAGCAAAGTGGAGATGTGTTGTTGAAACCCTGTGTTGCAATACTGAAATAATTAAATGCTTACACACCCACCGGGTTTCTAACCAAGGACCTTCTGGTCACAAGACAGGCTCGTAGACCCTGAAGCCATTGGGACCCGATTCAGTGGCCCATGAATTCTACTTATGATACAGTCCGTATTCATAGTTGAAACAAACCACATCCCTACAAACGAACTCTTGTAAATGCTTGTAAACACAAAGTTGAGTCGGTAGTTCACTGGTATAGTGCTAGTCAACTACCCATGTGGTCTGGGGTTCGATTCTAGGCCAACGCATTCTGCTCATTAATAAGTCTGGGAAAGACAGAAGGTTGCACATGAGGCTAGCAAACCCACCCTTTAAAAACAACGCTTTGGTTACTGAAAATTCAAGGCTTCAAGCCTGGAGTCCTTATTACACTCAGAATGAAAGTGAATGAAAAACAGCAGATGACTGCATTTTATAATAGTTCACTCTATGCTGTTTGATAGATGAAGAGTGGCGGAAAACAACAGGTGTTCAATCTGGGGGATTCTGGATATCTGTAGAGTAAGTGGAGGAAGGAAAGTAGTTCAGCTGACTATTTGTACTCGTTGGTTTGTGTCAAGCATTACCCAGCCCGGCGTAATATGGCTACTGGGATAGGATAAGGCTTTATAGACATCAACCAGACTAAGCTGGATAATGTTTGGTAGGCTAGGCGAATTGTGGCAGTGATCCATTGAAGTAATTGATCCAATCTATATGGTGACGTGTAGATTGCTCATTCGGTGTTCTTTGGGTCAGTCAGACATTCCAATGAAATAGAATTAATGGGTTTTTCGATCACTAGCAAACTTGGTGAGCCGAAATAACTCATATCTCCAAGTATGTCTATTCTTTAGCGTGTGAATTTGTAAATCAAAGTAATCACCACATTAAAGGTCGAATATTTTCACACTTACTGATCATTAATGCATCTCAGGTCCAAGATTACTTTGCAATGAGATCTGTCAGCCATCTGTCCTAGTTTATATACGGCCTCTTACTGTTATACGCGGCATTTTAGACGACATTTCTCAAGACTCATGGTTCTCTGTAGTACGCAGAAAAATAGGATTGGTTAGTTAATCGAATGTGATCATTCCGATCGGCACTCATACCTTGTCAAAAAGCAGAAAGGTTCATCTGGAGTAAACTATGATACCGGTTTAGCGATTGTTTCAACATGTCAAAAGAATCCAGCTTATATGCGGACTATTAGGTCTTTTTTAGGCTCTGCTATGGCATACACTGCTCTAACTTGTTGTAACTAGTTAGTCTAGGTAGATTTCATCATGAGCTGACATCAGTTAGAGAACCATTGGAAAACCTGGGAGTACTGGACAGCTGTTTCGTCCTAGTTTGGGACTCTTCATCAGCACGCACCCACCGAGATTCGAACCCAGGACCTTCTGGTTACAAGGCGAGCTTGTATACCATTAAGCCACTGGGACCCGATCCAATGGTCCATGAATTCTAACTTCTGCCAATTCACGACATAGCGCGACCCCTAGCCAATGTCTTCGGCGAGTATTTGTCAGTGTGATGTATCTACTCCTTTCTTTGGTGCATACTGAATTCCGTCAGTCACGTCTGCAATGTGGCTGCCATGCCATTAGGTGGCTCACCATCACGGTGCACTTTGAATCGTTGACTAGATACATTACACCAGTTACTAACTAGTGTTCAGTCAATACAGTCCTACAGGTGGTCAATGGTGAGCCCGAATAGCTCAGTGGTAATGTCGTTGACTGCCGCACTGGGTGACATGGGTTCAAATATCAGAAGGGACATGAGTTTATTGAAGGTTGCAGATACGCCTTGATCACAAGTGCCAACTAGCACGAGACCTAAATATATGTATATATATATATATTTCAAAGATGTATGTCGTAAATTGTGGAGCTGTTAGCCACAATAATAATAATAACATCAATAATGACAACAGAGGTAAAATTAGTTGATGCGGGCGGTAATAATAAGAATAACGAAGACAGTATGCTTATGTAGACAATTCAGTCATCATATGAGGTCACAACCTTGTAAAACTAAAAATTGCCTAATAATATACATTGAGGGAAATGTATGACTAAGTCTAAGAAAATTTTATAGATACATGAAAGATTTAAGAAGTAAGAAAGAGGTGAAATATTTTGGTAGAAGTTATCCTGGACAAGAGAGAGAGAGAGGGCGCAGGGTTAGGAAAGAAATAATATATAAACCAAGGCTATTCTTTTAAATTCCTAAACAGATGAAATGATGGAACTCTGGCAACGTCTGCTAACTGATTGTTTTCGGCTAAATGAAACAAAACTGAGCTTCTTCCGAGTGATTTTATTATTATTCTATTTTGCAAATATGAATGGTTGTCCTGTATCTACACATTTCTCCACAAGATCAGCTTACTTTGAAATTGAGAATTCCACTCAGTGAGCCTATTGTCTGAGAGTTGATTGCAGTATTCCAGTGTGACTATGAATGAAGAAATGACGAGAAACTGGCTGATAGGCAGGCATGCAGGCAGATAGGGAGAGAGACTGTGTTGGATGTTGTTGAAATGAATTGAAGAGTGAAGAAGATGTCTGTGAGATTGTAAATATTGAGCAAGTGTTAGTGGTGGCGGTATTGTGTCGGATGATACAATGAAATGGTACAGTTAAGTAATTCAGATTTCGCTTGAGCAGTGACAACTGTTAAACAAAAGTTTAGAAGTTCTGTGATTGTAATTAATAATGATTATGAACAATTAATTGTGTTGAAAACGTCATCCAGTAAATAATACTGTTTCACTGTGTGGGATATATCTAATCAACAAACTAATATGGAATGACAACCGTTAAGTTAGAGAATACGACACAAATATGTTAGCAATATTTTAAGTTCTTTTCATTGTCATGGACAGTTTTCAGAGTAGAACTTTAGCGTGAAGTTAGATATTGTCTCTTCATAAATAAACCAACCAGATCAGGAAACACAACTATACCAAAGCACCTTTCTTAGATACCGACTTTCCCACATGCAATCTTTAATATCTCGAGGCCCCAAGCTAAGCAGTCCGCATCTACCTATTAATTGTTGTCATGCTTTACTCTAAGTCCCTTCCGACATAATACTTCTCCTTATGTCGGTCATTGTGGAAGGCACTGACTTGACATGCACAATGTATATATATATATCATAGCCTCTTCAGTCAATGAAGCTTGTCGACCTCAGACACTGACTGACTCATCTCCCTTGTCTAATACTCTATATCTCATCTGAGAATTATTTAACATATTGCTCCATTTAACAAGAATAAGTGGAAGAAAGCGCGTATGATCAATGAGCTGTGGTCGTCTTCTGCCTATTTCCTACTTTCTGCAACCAGTGTGTAAACTGCCGATCAGTACTTATGCGGTGTGGTCTTGTAAGAAAATGTCAGATGAGCAATCTGTCAGTGACTATTTCATTACTGCTGGTGCAAATAAGTGGAATGGCGAACTGTAAATTGATTATATTTCTTCTCGAGTACTTATAGATTATCAATCATGAGCCATTGAATCGGGTCCCAGTGGCTGAATGGTATACGAGCTTGCCTTGTAACCGGAAGGTCCTGGGTTCGAACCCTCCGTGGTGGGTGCGTACTGCCGATGATTCCCAAACTAGGATGAAACAGCAGCTGTCCAGTACTCCCTGGTTTTCAATGGTTCTCTAACTGATATCAATCCGTGATCAACTCGTAAAAACTTATAGATGATCTCAGAAAAAGAGAGAACTGTTTAAATTCGTCATCACTTAATTTCCTTGAAGGTTACAGTTAGGTCAGCTTCATATCTCAAATCTAGTAAGTGGCATACTGTTGGGTTTATGATTGAGGAAGAATCAAAAGCATGAACTGAAGTCCACCTATATTTGTCATCTATGCGCTTGTTATGGGAGCTATATGTTGGTAAATCAATACTCTTAGTCCACATCAGATATCTACTTGTCCATATGTAAACTGTTTGATGAAAATGCAATTCCCATAGGATATATAGTACTGGTAAGAACCATAACTTCAGGCCTACCCTTCCGAAACATTCCCCTCCTTGTTTATTAACTGAACAAACTGGACGAAACAGCTGGCCGTCCAGTACTTCTTGCAGGTTTTCCAATGGTTCTCTGACTGATATCGGCTTATGATGAAATCCTCCAACTAATCAAACAAAATCCCTACAAAAGCCAATACTTGAAAAAAAAAACAGGCGTTTTCTTTAATCCTAAATACTAGCTAGTGAATGCCTTCTGTTGGAGCTATTCCAATTGTGTGATTGTTTTGTAGGCCCTTGATCAAGAAGGTAATTACTGAGTTTTCTGGAAGGCGCATGCTACTTATTTACTCTTGTAGGTAACTTCATGCTAATTCTGTCTAAGTTTAAATGCAGCTTAGTTGATTCACAACAGACAGATGACTTATATCCGCTTTTCATGTTTTGCTTTACTTTCCATACGCTTTTCTTCTTAAATAGGAAAAAACCCTCCGAGGATCTGTTGTTTTTAAGGCTCATACCGGCTCTTTCTTAATTAAAACACTCCTGCTTTACAAAGTCTCTCTATCTATACATTATTTGTAATAATCTCACAAAGTTATCTATAAGCTGCATATTTTTTCAAACCTTGATGTGCACTTTAAACAACCACAGCAACAACAATGTCTGTTAGATTGATAATATGAAGAGTATTGCGTATTTCTCTGTTTGTGTGTGTGTGTGTACACAGATCCAATTGCGTGTATATTTCAGTTTACAAAATCGAATGATACATGAGCTGGTTTTGTTTTCTTTACCAATGGTTACATAGTCAGAGATTTTTGTTTTAATTACACAGTGTCTGAAATTAAAATTTCTCACAGTGTGAGCTTTATATATGAATGAGATGTTATTAAACACTTTAGAAGAGAAGAGAAGAGAAGAAAGCAGAGAGTTTCAACGCGCATATCTTGCTGCATAGACTGCTGTTATAGTAGTCTGTTCCGTAGAGTTAGACTTGTCGACGCTCTCCCTTTTCCTCCTTTCTTTCTCTCTTTTTTACCACTGTTGCTTACTTCCTTGTAATTAGTCCGCGTGCAACCTTTTTGTTTTTTCCTGTAGCGTGTAAAAGATTTCTCCCTCAATCTTACCTTTTACACTTTTGCTCTATTTTCAGATTGCTTTATTTTTTTCCTCTTTGAAAAGGAAATAAATTATCTCCGGCAAGTCTGTTCAAGGATAAAACTATATGACCTTTTATTTATAGGACAGTAATAATGAAAGCTAGGCGAAGAAGAACATTTCACTGTGAGCATAGGTTAATGAACATATATATATATATATATATATGAATATATATGAAAATAAAAGTTTGTAGGCAGTTGTTAAGTTATTTGAAAATGATAACAGAAAGTCAAGTGGAATACAGATGTGCCACTGAAACAACTCGTGTTCCACTCCAGGGATGGATAGCGATAATTTTACTTAATGACTTACTACTTACCAATCCCGACTCTTCATTTACCCGACAAAAGATGTATTACGAAGAGAAGTTGCTCACTATTATTATTATTATATTATTGTTCTCTTGGGTTCCCAGTGGAACATAGGGCTTCAACACCACATCTTCACTTGGTTCTATTCCCTACCGTCCTCTTCAGCTGACTCCACCACCACCCGTAACCTCTTATCTCCTCCTCACACGATTTCCTCCACGTCACCCTCGTACCGACAGCTCACTCAACTCTTCTCATTTGGATTCCACTTGAGCAATGGCCTCTGTTAAGCGCGATGTCATTCGACAGCCTCCTCAACGTGAGCCCGATCCATCTCCACTTTCTCCTATATATTTGTTGAGAGATTGGCTCTTGGTTGGTTTGTTCCCAACCAGAGTTTCTTGTTGCTGGTACTTTCTGACAATTTTTTCTCCAGTATGGAGCGAAGGCAGCTGTTGATAGAAGTCTGCAGTCACCTGTTGGAAATCCTTTTCGTGACACGCTGGCCGAGTTTCTGACCCGTATGGAAGAACTGATTGACTGACTTCACATTGGTGTTGAAAATCCAAATCTTACTGTTTATTCTGAGTGTGGAAGATTTCCAAACTGGCTTCAGGTTGATGAAGGTGTATCTTGCTTTACCGATTCTGACTTTGCTGCTCACTATGCTTCTTTAAATTCATTCTATAGTCACTTTATCACAGGTATATAGAGATATAACTATAGATTCTCCCCCAGTTAGGGAACACTGGTGAATAAAGTCAAGGCTTAGGTACAGGACTAACTGGTTTACGGTTTCATTTCATCTAATACACACATAATACAAGTGAATGAATAAACTCCTTCCTATCGTAAAGTTTGATAATCTGCGCTTTTGTTTTCGGAAAGAATGATATTTTAACTTTAAATGCATTCGTCTTATGAACGCAAAACAACTGAATTCATCCATGTGACCTACAAATACACTCTCAAACATTTCAGAATGTGACGTCTTTTTTTTAAAGAAAATAAAATTTTCTAATTTAACTTAATAAATCATATTTTATTTCATTCATTTACAGCTTGAAACACTGAGAGAAATGCACGCGAATTGTGTATCTTGTGGCAATACAGACAACTTCCGTCCAATCTGTCCTGTTGGTTCACGTTCTGTCAGGTGTTCCTTTCGTGTGTAACTCGGTAACAAGGCTTTAGTCAAAATTCAGAGAAAAATATAATTCGTATATATATATATACTACAAACGTGTATACAATAGTTCATTACAACGAACACTTGGTCAGAATCTGTACGCCTCCTGCACTGTAGCCTAGGCAATTTTAAACCGGAGTATTGAATAACACCGCTGTATTCCCAGAGTTTTATATCACTTGAGACCATAACCTACCGTAAATCACATTCTCCATAGATAGAATTCTCAACCCACCTATGGACGATTTTCACTTTTAGAAAAGTCACAGTCATTTTGAAGAATTTTCACACACCTGACAACACACACACAAATCTTCGTCTAATTTTCTGTGTTATCTCTTACTACTTACTACTTCAGATTTATTGTAATAATTAACTTCATTTTCCTCCTGACAATTTACTCTATTCCCTCTTTCAATCACTGCCTATCAGTCAACAGTGTCGTTGTAAGTCTTTATGAGGTAATCAGCTTGTGATTACTAGTCGTCAACAGTATCCTCAATCACTATCACTATCATCATCACCACAACACGAATACTTTGTCAACCAATCAACTATTGTAATCTAGATATTCTTTATCTTTATAGATTTGATCAAAACAGAATATGTTTAGTTTGCATAGATTACTTCAATTATATATATATACTTTTATTTCTGATTCTGAAGACATTTTTTGTTGTTGATATTTTGGTCTGGTGGCAATAGTACCTACTGTTAGAAAACAATAGGAAGAGTAAGTGACAACAAGTGATGGATGAAATAAGCCGTGGAGTAGAACTAATGACAAGAGCTGTCTTCCTTTCCTTCTTACTGGCGTACAGGAAGGAAGTAAGTAATCTAAGATGAGAGGTATACAGTGACATTCTCTAGGCGACACCCCTGTTTGGATTAAGTTTTTTTTTAAGAAAAAAAGAATAGACTGTTAGGTGGTCAGTGAATAAGAATTCAAGTTTAAGTTGGTTAGTTAGTTAGTTAGTTAGTTGTGCGTAATTGAATGAGGGAAAGGCAGGAAAGAAAGCTGAGCGGAAACACAGAACTATCACTGTTGTGTAATACAGTTCTATTTTCAATCATCTCAGTTTGATTTTAATGACAAATAAAAGTAGACGTGAATAACCCAATGACTTGAAAAAAAGCTTACAACTTTTAGTGACATGAGACAGTGCTAAATAAAGTCCTGTAAGGTATTAGATTAATGAGAAAAATTCAGACAAGCAAAGATTTATCAAGCCAATTCTTGACAATGGGTTGTTTTCACACATAACTGTAGAAAGTAGGCGGTAACTGACAAGCATGAAACCTAAGTCCAAGGCCTTCTGTTGACTTCCTTAAACCACCTAATAACAGCAACTCAGAGTGCATGGGGATGATGAGCCACTCAGTGGCGTGGTGGCAACATTGCAAACGTGACTGACAAAATTTGGTCTGTACCAAACAAAGAATTAGATGCATGATACGAACTTCTACCTAGCGTTCAATCAAAAAGACATATGTATATACAACATCGAATTTATGAAAATTAATACCTTTTCTAGTAACAGCAGGTCATTTTCGAGAAAGTTGGAGTGGTCTTTCAAACAAATATGTGCATCCTAGTTTGGGAACCATCGATGGTACGCACCCACTGTAGTTCGAACCCAGGACCTTCCGGTTACAAGACAAGCTCCTACAGCCACTGAAATCCGATTCAATGGCTCATGAATTCTAACTTCTATCAATTCGTGATTTTAGCGTGACCACCAACCAAGGTCATCGGTGGGAAATCCATCCTCACTCCCGACTGGATGGACCTCACTGGTCACGACTTCTCACTAGAACTCCAGGAAACTCCATTCTGTAGCAAGTCACTAGCGAGCATCAGATTAATTTTCAAGAGTTGGTTTGTCAGGATTATATTTGTTTTTCAAGTTTGACCACGTATTGATACCAGTTAGAGAACCATTGAAAACCAGGGTGTACTCGACAACTATTTCATCCTAGTTTGGGAATCATCCCCAGTACTCACCCAGTCTCAGTGGCTGAGTGATTTACGAGCTTGCCTTGTCACCGGAAGGTCCTGGGTTCAAACCCCAGTGGGTGCGTACTGCCGATGATTCCCAAAATATGAGCACCTCAAAATCCAGCGGAATTTGAAGTGTTCACAAACAACTGTGCATACCTGTATTTCCTTTGTTACATCTGTAAAGCGCTTCTGTCTAGCACTAAGTCTGTAAGTAGTGTTGTATAAAGCAACATTACATTATCCTAATTAACTTGAGTGTAGTGGAATTTAGGCTAGTTATCATGATGACGGCGCCCTTATAAGCTTGTAAAATGTACTCGAAAAATCAAAGCTTATTTCTAGAGTATTTGGTTTGAAAAAAATTATGATACACAGAGTTGACTTCTAGCATGAAATTATTTTTTAAATATATTCGAAGTCGTGTTCAGTTAAAATCGAAGCAAATATATTTCCTGATATTGGGGTTTACGCCCGTGTTTAAAGCATTTGACATTCAGTTCACATTTGATTCTGTTCTATGAAATACAGAGAAAGCTGACCTTCACCTATCAAATGTGGTCAGATATCGGAAAGGCGAATGTTTCTTCTTGAGGATAAAAACGACTCCTCCGTGTATCTGTTTTCTATGAACAGACGGAGGGAATTTTCGACGATGAGCAGCTGAAATTGTTAAAATTCATAAATGTACACATAACAGTAATGAAGTGAAAAGACAAATAAACTATAATGAGTGGAAAAATACATAGGAAAAAGGAAAAATAATCATGAAGAATGAATCGATTAGATTTAATGAATTCTGTAGGTCACAAGGAGTAAATGCTTCTATGCCATCGAGAATGATTTTGTACCGCACTATCAGCATTTTTCAGTCATTAGTTCTTAGCGTCTCGAAGACATCAGCCAGATAGACCAGACCTGCCTGAAAGGCTTAAACTAGTGGTCACGGGCTTCATCAGCTGGCGCTATTTAGATGTACACAGTACTTTATTACCATGACACCCTGAAATGATCTTTGGCTTTGAGGGCGAGTGACGTCTTCATATATGCACCAGTAGCTGATAGCATTATCAAAAAGTGCTTAATGGCCGAAATGTGAATGAAAAATAAACTGAGTTATAAAACTGGAGTCAATCCATCCTTCATAGTCATCGTTTACTGAAGACGAAGGAGCTTGAAAATGGGCAAGTACTGCCGGCTGACCTAAATATGATAAGCAAGGGAGCAGGCCAAACACTATCTCTGCCCTGAATATCTTCGGTCTCTAAAGGAAACTTAGTTAAATATTATTCCTTTCAGTACACTTTGCAAATGACAAATTTTATTTACTAGTAAAATGACGACTCCTTTGCTTTCAGTATAGGTTTGGAAGGTTGGGTGAAATGTCATTTACAACCAATCACGGGGGGGGGGTATAAACAAAGTAACACCAAGAATGACCATCTGGACTGCAAATTTTCTGCATTATCTTAAAACGCTTCAGAACTCTTAAAGAATCTTGGTAACAAAATGGTCTCGAGAGAGATTTCCTTATATCATTTATTCACCTAATAATTTTGGACATGAATAGGCCAAGAGTGAACGTTCTGTCCAAACTGCATATGCGTTTACGCTACTTAATTATGAAAACAATAATAGGGGATTTTATACCCGATATAACTACATATAAAGTGACAGTTTCGAATTCACAGACTGATGTCAGTATGACAGGCTGGATTTAATTCATCATCAAGTCACGTCGATTGGTTTTTAATCAGAACAAAGAGAGCTCATTTTTTTTTCATGACATTTTTCACCTGCAAATACTATAAAACACATCAATCTTACTTAGCACGGTAATGAAACAATAGGTATGAAGAATACTATTAACAATAATTATAATAATAATTTGCTTTATTCCAAAACAGTACTTACAACACAGCGTGGAATTTTCCGCATTCGGTACAACATTGCATCTAATTTACTCGATAATAGCAAAAACAAAATTAAAAAAATAATATGACAGGATTGATAGCAGCATCTTTTTCAGTATTAGCAGTGACAATAAAGTCAAAAATGTACACAATATGTGTAAAATAGTGATAACGATGTTAATAGCTAAAATTAGAAGATAATTGAAGCAGTGTCATCACAAATTATACAGATACGAGAAGATTAAAGAGTCCTATATTTTGCTAATCACTTAGTAAGATGCAGGTTTCACGCTTAACACTCTCTCTATCACAAAGAATGCTGGCCAAATATGGTGTCGTGGAGTTTTCCTACTTCTAGTCCTACCTAATAAGATCTAAAGGGGAGAGTTGAGAATAGAGAGGGTGTTGGAAGTTAGACAATATGGATTTATAGCATAAAAGGAGCAGTGAAGAACAGTAGGTAAGATGCAAGAGTTAAGAAATGATATTCCTAATTGTGGTGGACTGGATTATGCGTCAGACAGTGAGAAGCGAGAAGACAGGGATATCCTGGACCGATGTGGAGAATCTAGAAGACCTACATTTCGAGGATGATTTATGTTTGATGTCCCAAAAAATCGAAGACTTACAAGCAAAAACTGACAAACTGGTCGAAGAAGCAGCAAAGACACGACTCCAAGTCAACATAGACAAGACGGAGGTTATAAAAAAACCAACAACAACAACAGTAGCAGCAACATCCAGTGCCAATCACCATCATCAGGAAGAATGTGAAAGAGGTTACTTCATTCACTTATCTGGCGAGCATTGTCTCAACTACAGGAGGAACGGACGAGGATATCAAATCGAGAATCAGGAAGGCGAGAAACACATTCATCAACCTGAAACCAATCTGGAAATCTTCGTCACTCAGCCTGCATCAACAACAAAATTCGGATTTTCAATACAAACCTCAAGTCAGTTCTATACGCATCAGAATATATTTCCAACAGGTTGCAGACCTTTATCAACAGCTGTCTTCGTTCTATACTCAAGATCAGATGGCCGGAAAGAATCACCAACAAGAAACTATGGGAAGAAACAAAACAAGAACCAATCGCTCAACAAATATGCAGGAGAAAGTGGAGATGGATTGGACACTCGCTGAGGAAGCGGCTGGGTGACATCTCGCATCAGGCCATAGCTCGAGTGGAACCCTGTAGGGAAGCGGCGAGTGGGACGTCGAATGGTGATATGGAGGAGATCGTGTGAAGAGGAGTTGAAACAGTATGGACTAACATGGATGCAGGTGAAAAGTACAGTAGAAGACAGAAGCAAGTGGAGGCGTGCAGTTGAAGCCCTATGTTCCACTAGGAACCCAAGGGATCAACAACAACAAGAAGTAGAAGTTGATTGATTCCAGATTGTGTTAACCTCTTAGTGTACAAGGCTAGAGGAAAAAACTGTTCTTAGAAATTGACAAGATATGGGATGATTAAGAAGGCTCACAGGATAGAACACTATTGCAAGGTCTTTTATGCTTAGCTTGATTTCTGTTTCAATACCCTCAATGTAACAAACATCTTGTGAACGCACCAGTTCTTGTAGATCATGTTATGCTTGAAGGTGAAGTTAATAGTCTGGCTGTTGGAAGGGTTTTAAAGTAAGACAACTTAGTCTGAACGACTGGCTGATCGATGTTCATCAAAAAGCTACTAATTTGGAACAGTCATTCTGCGATGTAACTAGCAATGAGACATCCTGGA